GCATCAGAACTCTAAGCATCTGAGAGAGAGTGGGCACCTCCCAGAACATTGTTTTGTGCCACTCCCAACAGAAATACTCCAGGTGGACAACTTCAGCAATCAGTCCAGCAATCAGGAGCTCCTCAGTTGCTCATAGAAAATCCCACCTTGGAGTTTACAAAGACTTATGGGTAGAAAAGCCACACTAAGTAATTTACTATACCGCATATACAAATATGCTTAATAATTCCCTGGTGTACATGTTGTATAGATAAGTGTTCTCCTAAAAGCAAATTTTAAGAAGGGCTATCCTCTGCCAGCATAGTGCCTAAGGCTTTTGACTGCTTACTGGAAGGCTGGCGGTTCAAATCCACCAGCCACTCCTTAGAAGGAAGATTAGGCATTCTACTTCCGCAGTGATACTGCCTAGGAAACCCAAGGAGGGGTCGCTGTGAGTTGGATCGACTCGACGGCAGTGAGTTTTCTGCAGTTTATTTGGGATGGTGAGTTTAAGGTGCACTAGGCTTGTAGCTCTTCCTTTGAGAAGTCTTTCAGCTCCCTGTTACAGGTCAGGTGACACTGGACATCACCTTTGAAGCACTTGTCCCAGTGCACTTTATTAGTTGTGAGTATGCAGCTTTGAATAACGACTGTTCATTCATCCGTCCATGCATCCAAGAAATATTTGAGTGCCTGCTGTGGACCAGGATCCTTCCTAAGTGAGCAGAATAAAGCCTTTCCCTCCACTGGTTTGTCTTCTTACTGGGAGTGCGGGTGGTGAGCAGATCCACACTTACTGGCATGATGGTGCATACCCAAGAAGAAAACTCAAACAGGAGGTGGGACATGACAGCAGAGATGGTGTCATGTTCAGAAAGGTGTCATCTTTTCTTTCATAATTAAGGATAATATTTTAATCCTGATATTCTACTGAGGGTGGCCAGCAAGGGCTTTCCAGACAATGACATGTCACCTGAAGTGACTGAGGAAGCTGGTCGTATGGGACAGAGTGAGGGCCCTGAGATTGAAGCATTCCTGGCCTGTTCAAGACATAGCAGGGGGTCAGAGTGCCTGGCCTGTCTAGGACATGATTGGGGGCCAGAGTGCTGGAGTGGGCTGTGAGGACGATGAGGACAGAGGGGCTGAGTGAGTGCCGTGTATCCTCAGTGTCTAGGGCAGTGCCCATCTGTGCCAGAGAGTTAGTCAGTACATGAGGAATGAGTGAATAACAACAATAGTAGATGTTTATTGGTATTTATTGGTACCTGTATTAATTTGTGTCATCCTCGCAGCAACCATAGGAAGTGTCACTGTTGTCGTTATCGTTAGATGCTGTCGAGTTGCGTGCGACTCACAGTGATCCCATGTACAACAGAGCAAAGCCCTGCCCGGTCCTGCGCCACCCTCACCGTCGTTGCCGTGTCTGAGCCATTGTTGCAGGCACTGTGCCAGTCCATCTCTTGAGGATCTTCCTCTTTTTCACTGACCCTCTACTTTACCAAGCACGATGTCCTTCTCCAGGGACTGGTCCCTACTGATAATATGACCGAAGTATCAACAGTGCCCCCCTTTGATCAAGGAAACGGCTGAGGTTAGACTGGTGGGTAACTGTGCACAGTTGCTCGGGAGTGAGGAGCTGGGCCTGCAGCCTGAGAAGGTGGTACACAGCCACGCTGTTACCATGGCTTCTTTGTTATCAGGTTGCTTTGTGTGGGGGTAAGTGCTTCTTGGCTGTTAGTGCTTCCGTTAGACCCTCCATTTGTTTACTCCTTCATTCCAGAACAGTGTTTGAGCATCTGCTCTCTGAGAGTTGGCCTGGATGCAGTGGTACGTCAGTTAGCCAGGTAGACAGACAGCCCCACCCCCATGGAGTTTGTCCTGGGTGCACACACAGGCAATAACCCAGTAACAGAATGTCTTGTCTTCTCAGGTGATGACACATGGTATGGAAAGTAAAGGAGGGTGGGCAGAGGGGGGTCCACAGGGGCAGCTGCCCTTTCTGGGTCAGGTGAGCAGAGACCTGAGAAGGTGAAGGAATGGGCCACGGCATGTTGGCATCCAAGCTTTTGGGCAGAGCCTGGAAGGTGAGGCTACATAATAAGTCAGTGGGGCTGTGTGTGTGTTGGATGCATGTGGTTGGTTGGTGGCAATTGATCAGTGTTTTGTTTTAATCTCAATGTAGTTATTTATTTAAAACTGCTATGTTGTTAGGTGTCCTTAAGTCCTCAATGGCATCTAACAACAACATAGTAATTTACAGAAAGAATCGTTAGCACTTCCACTCTGCTTCCTCTACTGCTTCTTATTGGCTGTCCCCTTCCATGGTGTATCTATTTATGGTAGTGCTTCATCCACCGGAGGTCAGACCTGCTGTCCTTTCAATACTGTAGAATATAGTGGGCAGAAGGGACTGCCTAGCAGTAAGGAAGTGAAATTCCACAAACAGCCTCCATTTTACCCAATAGGAGACAGCCATGCCACCTCTACTTTTGTATAAAATAACTCTGCAGATTGAAAAACGGAGGGCTTACTCCTCAGAAGTGTGACAGATGGGCTATTTTGCAGTTGTCTGAGGCCATTTATTTCAGAGGCAGGTACCTCTACAAACGTAGGAGAGTCCCTGAGTCTCCCTGTAAGACAACATTGAAATAAGGTGGCAGGAGAAACCCAGAGAGAGAGTGACGTCAAGTGATCTCTGTCAGGTTCACTTTCTGTGGAGCGTCTCACTGTCAGGATACATGAGCAAATTCGTCAGTTATGACGCATTCAGAGTGTTACTCTTCCAAAGTATTTTATTTTATTTTTTTGCCAGTTAATACTGCTTATAACATCAGTACCAAACAAACTCCAAGGATGGAGAAGTTTCATTTCTTCTTTCATAATTAAGTTATTAAGAATAATATTATGCTGACGGATCATTGAGGCCCCAAAGGAGAGAGCATATTTGTGTTTCTTTTTTTTTGAAGGTATTTGTCTTACTGTAGAACATACTTACCAGTATGTTCTTCCCCTCCCTGTTTCCTCAGCTCACCACTTTTGAAGGGTATCTTCTAATCTTTCAAGCCACAGTTTACCTTCGTGAAGAATATACAAGCTTTCTTTTTCCAACTGGAATTTAGGTGTGAAGATATTACTCTGTTTCACGTTATTGCAGCGGACATTGTTGACGTGGCTGTGAATGGCATGCGTATAGTATGAAATGCTTTGCCTGCTGTGTTTGAATTCCACATCAACTGAACATTAGACTGATGTTTTACATGTTTATGGACTGGCGTCACAGGTGATTTGCTGTGATGCTAGAGAAGCGCACTGCTTTAGCGCTGAGATGGGCTTCTCAGACACTCTGCCTCAGTGTCCTCGGTCTTCTTTGGTGGCAGGTCTCCTTCCTCCTGGAATACCTCTCCTCTCTGGCCAGGCTTCTGCAGTCCTGCTTGCTGGTGGACCGGGACCTCGTGGTTCAGGATGGGCTCCTGAAACCTCTGCTCGCGAACGTCGTCAGGGTTCTCACCATATGCACCAGAGGCGTGTTAGGTAAGTAGCTCCAGTGTTGGGTTTGGACGGGGTCACTGATCGTGGGAGAGCAGTCTTACTCTGCACTAGACAGTCACTATGCAGTTACTCTGAGGGTCCGTCTTTGCTAGTCCTCTGAAAGTCTTTTAAACGTGTTTTATAGTTTCGATGCTTTGAAGAGGTTCCTGGAGAGCATTTGAGGCAAGTATGTGGTATAATGAGGGACCAATCCATGCTGCCTGTTTAAATGAAGGCAGAGTTGTTCCATAGTGTTAGCAAATTCAGTGAGGTTTAGGGATTATTCTTATAAACATGCCTAAGGCCAAACAACCAACTAATAAGTCTTTGGGAATAATGAGGATTAAAAACCTAGTAAAACATGTCTCAAGGTCCTAAATTATTGAAAATACATTATGATGGAAACATCAATGTAATGCTTAGTAGTAGAGAAAAGTAAATAATGCCAGATCATCTTCAAAATCCACGTATGATAATTTTTGAAGTGGTTTGTAACGAAGTAACCACTCGTTTGGTCATCCTTTGTGTTTCAGTTCATTGTTTTTTAGTCCTCTGAAGTTGGTGGAGTTGCCTGGTTTTAGGTTTGGTAAGTGAAGGGTTTGCTGGAGTCCATCAGCATCTCCTCAGTGCTGGTGGGGCAGGAACCTTCACTGGGACCTGCAAGGGGCAGCGAACTCAGTCTTCTCAACAGGGTGGTTCGTTCACCCCCGAACCCAAAATCCATTGTCATCGAAGTGATGCTGACTCGTAGTAGCCCTATGGGACAGGGTAGAACTGTCACATAGGGTTTCCAAGGCTGTAATCTTTACAGAAGGAGACTGCTACATCTTTCCCCTGCGAAGCAGCTGGTGAGTTCGGCATCCACCTTAACCATTGTGCTATGGGGGCTCTTATCATCCCCCCAGGGGAACGAAAAGTTGATTTTTTGGGGAAGGAAGTGAAAACTCTTAGATATTGTAATAGTTTATAGCCCTCCAAAGCTCAGTCCTACCTAATAAGGTCTTACTCCTTAGTATGTAATGTTTCTTTCTTTTTTTGTTTTTTTAATTGTGATTTAAGTGAAAATTTACAGAGCAAATTCACTTTCCATACAACAGTTTACTTACACTTTCTCTCATGACATTGACCACAATTTAGCACAATGCAACATCTCCCCTCCCACTTCTTCCCAATAGCTACCTCTTCCCTGTGTCCATCCCTCCATGCACTCCTAGATTTGGGTGAAAATTTACAGAGCAAATTCACTTTCCGTACAGCAGTTCACATACACTTTGTCTCATAACATGGACCACAATTTACCACAATGCAACAGCTCCCCTCCCACTTCCTCCCGATAGTTACCTCTTCCCTGTGTCCACCCTCCATGC